TATAATATAGCTTTGCGATAAAAGAAAGAAACAAAATCTTGATAAGTAATATATGATTAGATATACATGTACACACTCATATATTTAGTTTGTATTAATTCTTGCTTGGGAAGGAAGTAAGAGTCAAACTTTTAGTAGTGTTGTCGTACCATGGAAACAGTTCTAAACACGGATCTTTCCCATGTGTTAAACATTATATATTGATAAAGTAATACATTTTTCTTGCAATTTATTTCTTATCACTTAGTCTTGACTGATATAAATATATATATATATGTATTCAGTAAATCAGAAATAGAGCGTCATTTTGGTAAGTTATACTGTACCATTTAGTTGATTGCCTACCACAAATTAAAGGCATTTTATGGAAAGCGGATTTCTGATTTGTGTTTAACACCATAACGAAAGAATGATTTATGAATACCAAAAGTACAAACAAACTTGAAATTTCTGGTTTAATTTAGTTAGATACCTAATGATATTTAAGTACAAACAAACTTGAAATTTCTGGTTTAATTTAGTTAGATACCTAATGATATTTAAGTACAAACAAACTTGAAATTTCTGGTTTAATTTAGTTAGATACCTAATGATATTTAAGTACAAACAAACTTGAAATTTCTGGTTTAATTTAGTTAGATACCTAATGATATTTAAGTGTGCCATATTTTACTTACTGCACTTTCATTTATATGAAAATATTAAATAAAATGGATTTTAAAACTATAATTATAAAAAAAGTTCTACTCTGTAATCACTTTCACAAAAACAAGGTTATTAATCTTATTTTCACGGGACTATAAGTTTTTAAACATTTTCGTTCTAACGTTATTTGTAAAATTATTACTGTTTTGACAGATAAATTCAGTTCGCTGTTACTATTCGCCTTCCGATCAGATTTAGAGCCGACAGTGTCATTAAATAGATTTCTTTAATATTAAGTAGTTTGAAACAAAAGCATATGCGTAAGAGGAGAAAACTGAGACAATAATATCACAAATATGAGCGTCTATTTTAGAAGCGTTATGCTCATTACTAAATATCTAGAATTCAACTGTCTTCGTTAACCTGTTTCTTGATGCAATTGTACCAGCTATATGTCCTGTGAAAATACTTGATTTAAATTGTGTACTGTGGTGGTATGCATGAGTAATATATTATTACTAGCAGAGGTCCGCAAAACATTTGCAGTCAAATTAGTATCTATATTGCAATAGCACTTCCTTAAATACAGAATTTCTAGAATAATACAAAGATTTCTAATCGCAGACACCGAAAAATGTAAGTCCACTTTTGACTTAAGCCTAGCATTAGTTAAGTCTTTATTGAGTACTGCCTATATTCGATAAAGAGGTAAGTAAATTAATACTGTAACTTTTGTACGTTTTTGTTCTGGTTTAGTTAGGGTTAAACTTTACTGTACTTAATACTATCAATATATATAAACTTATAATGTTAATCTACGTTATACCTTTTTAAAAAACTTTGATAAACTTTTAATATGTTGTACAAAATGTCTACAAAAGTATATTCACATTTTGTTTACATCCGTTGAAATGAAGTGCGCGCGCATGTGTATATAGTATGGCTCGCACATTTTCAGGACAGACAACAACCGAGTATTATTATAATGGATGCGGCTCTTGTACTTGTAATAAGACTTAAAATGAGTGTCAAGATTTTCCTAAATTCGTTTAACATATATTATAGTTTACATGAAAACTACGGGTATCTCCAATAGTTTTTCGCCTGGCTGCATGCTTTGATGTCAACCTGTAAAGTGTACCTCCGACATGGTCGTTTTTAAGTCAAGAAAGTCCAAAATACTATTTATTACTATAAACTAATTCATAAATAATTAGCAAGAGAGAGAGTGTTTTTTTCGTCCTCTTCGGCTTAATTTCCAAATAAACCGAAACAAATTCGAGTTTGTATTGAAAATCCTCAAAGTTTGAAACCTTCATTGGGACGTGTTTATCGGAACTTTACATTGTCATTGTGCATCATATTGAATTGGAAAACAGTAACTTATTCTGTTGTGCAAAATATATCAAAAATTTTTAAACTACTTGTAACTAATAAGTAAAAAGGAAAAAAGTATTATGAATCGCCTTTAGTAATCATAAAATATGTTTGAAAGTGTGTTGGTCAATCGGACTCGGTGTGAACGATCATTGTTGGTTTTTACATTGTTACCTGAAAGCACAGGATAAAAAGAACTGTCATTTCTTACATGCCTCTTAGTTTTGATTTCGAATTTAATAAACTTTCTTGTTTAGAATATAAAGTTTTAATTACAAATTGTTTGATGTATATAAGGTTAGGTGCATAAGTTTTGTTTTTTGTTGAATTTTCCAAACTAGCATTCAGTAGACGAAAATTAACATAATAAAAGATAGCACTGAGTTGTTTTCCAAATATCATTTACTAATAAAAATAGAAACGTTTAGCAATTCGTTTAAGAAAAGATTTAGGGCATTGCATGACAATAGTACGGAATATGACTACACTTTTTTGAGTAACATACATTAACTCAAAAACCTCTGTAACTAAACACTTTTCTGAATAAACAACGGATAGATTTTTCTTTTTTTAACCTTATGTTTAACAGTTGCTTTATGTAAATATCGATATATTTGGGCCAGGCTTAGCTTACGTTAGCGTGCTCGGATTGTGAAACCGAAATTTAAGGTTTGAGTCTCATAGCTGCAAAAACGTGCTTCGCACTGTGGCACCATGCATGTGGTATAAACGTTATGGTTAAACCGCATATTTCAGTCATACGAGACTAGCCCAAGAGATGACATTTGGCAGTTGACTAGTTCCTTCCCTTTTATCCATCATTTTAAAGTCAAAGAGGGCTATGGTTTTTTTGTGTAGTTTTGTACGAAAATTATAAAACAGTTTTGTGATTTACTTATGAATTGTAAGAAAAATAAAAGGTTTAAACAATGAAGAAGCACAAAAGAAAAGAAAATGTATCGCACACAAACACAATATTAAGTTTTTGTGTCAACGAGAATTGTAAGCTTTATGCAAATTAACTGTAACAACGTTTTTTTTTATAAAGGTACTTTCGTGCAGGCAAATGTTATAGTAATGAATCTTTTAACAAACGTTAATGAAGTATTACATTATACAGGAATGTTTTGTTTGGTTGGTTGTAGTTAAACACAAAACTACAAAATAGGCTATTTGTGCTGTGTCCAGCACAGGTATCGAAACCCGGTTTCTAGCGTTTTAAGTCTGGGGAGGGCAGATAGGAAAGTAATTTAGTAACCCGATTCTATGTAAATAGATGTTTATTGACCTTTCATGGATCAGCTTATAAGATACAAGTGCATATTATGTCTAGAGTTGACAGACCCTGTACATACTTAATAATAATAACAAGAGGAAGATTAAAAGCATTTAGCACAAAATACTACATGTTCTGGCCCTTTAATTGACTTCAATCTACGAACAATGTTCTTTTGAAAGTCTTCTTGTATCGGGGTCTACCGCTCATAGGCTGGTATTATAGACTACATACGTATATACATAGAAACATAATCTATATTTATACTTAAGACTGATACAAAAAAATTGAAATAACGAGTATTCATTCGTATAGTTATATAGACATTTCAGATTTCTTAGCCAGAAATATATGCTACGTATCTGAAAACTGCATAGTAGCGTGATTTCAGGTTGACCTATGCTTTCTAAAAGGAAAAATGAGGACGTGCATTTTATAATGATTAATCATCACAAACAGCAAAATCAATATGATTTTGATAATTTTAAACCTTCATGGGATGATTATATTCTTTTTTAAGTTCAGTTTGGAATTTTATACAGTTATTTAACTTTGACAGTGTTCTTATAACGTTCGTAGATTATTTTTCCGAAAGTGATCATTTTGTTCTGTTTAGCTACATTATTGATATTTATGTCACAATGGAGTTTCGCTTCAGGACGCTACTTGAAAATTATGCAGTCTGTAAAAAGTGAAATATATCCAAGATCTTTATTTTTACAAAAAGAAATTGGGGCAACTTCAGGCTATAACTTTTATTGTGTCTTTAACTAAAACGGGCTTTATCCGATGGCCGTTCACTATTCACTCCTTTCCATTGGATCGGAGGAAAAAAAAAGACGTCTTCTTTCAGCCAATAAGATTCCTAACTAGATGGCTTGCTATACACGGGCGTGAGAATCGACTATGTTTTGTTCATTGAATTATATACGCCATTAATGTTCTATATGACACTGAAGTAAAACAGGACATGACGTAGTCCAGCTATCAGAGTGCATGTAAGTGTGGGCTAAGCCTCCAATCCCACGTGGAAATTGCTCTTTCCTTTTCCAAGCTAATTAGGTTTTGACGCAGTAGTTGTTTAGCACAGAAAGTGTGATTTCCGTTTTAATGCTAGTATTGTACTTGTAACTTCAAGTTTGTAAACGGGCATAGAAAAAAATAAGCTAAATCTTATGCAGTCAGTTAGTATATAGAGAATGTCATGCACGGATTTAAAAGGCTGCGATTTTGTTTTATGGAGAACCTGTAATTCAAATTTCATGTATCCTTCGTGACTAAATCCTCCGCATTTAAGTTATATATTCTAAACACAGAGGGCGGACACAAGGGTTTAACACTTATGCTTAAATTAAACACGTTTCACTCACATTTGCTCATTTAACTTAAGTGAACATGTACAGATCTATGTTTTTGTTGTTTTCTCTATCAAAAACAAGTCTATTCCCAAAGCAAGTTAAGGTTATGTGTAGTATCACCTTGCTATTTTTTCACATGATTTTTTATTTTATCTGCCCTTGCCGATTGAACGACCTAAATTTATCGGACCATGAGAGGCCCGCTTGCGTTTTTGTTTACGAAGCAGGTGCGTATGACGTCATTGCGGGGACGTATTACGCCATAGAATAACAACATCTTAAAACGCAGTAACAAATAGTAAGCTAGACGAAAGCCTTTAATATTGATCGAAAGAGATTCGACCACTAAAAAAGAATTGTAAAACTCCGTCACTAAGTTTGGCTGTTTTCGAATTTAACTACTCAAACTGCCGTTAGAGGGGGTGCGGAGTGATATGTTTGTGTTTACTGAACGCATGTCGCTCGGTGAGTGTTGCTGTTCACGTCCGATTTAGAGAGCATGTCAACGGCTTACTGGACCACGATGCAAGACGGCATGGAGGTAAGTCGTTTAACGCTTCTCTGTTCTACTTGTAATGATCTGACGAGGCACACAGTGATTCTAGTGTGCACTCAACTAAGAGAGGTTCACGTGTAGCTCTATCAAGCCATTGTTCTTTTTGAAGAAACGTAAAAGCAACCTTTACTGTTAGTGTTAAGTATGACAGTAATTTGCATACCATTGAGGGGCCGGGCAGGGTGCGAACATCATTGCCAGTTGTCTTGGCGGGTCTGTCCCAAGGTTACGAGAGTTATGTCCAAATAACGGAGAACAATAAATCTGCGCGGCTTTATGTGACTTGCGAGGCCTTTTAAGTTACGCGCGGTAGGCCTTGTGTACTTTGGGTTATAAGATTATTGGGCGAAAACTAGGATTTGTGTCCAATTATCGACAACTCAAGAATATGTAGTGCATTAACTTTTCAAAACGAAAACTGATGGAAGTTGATATTTATTTAGTAGATAATTAATTTTTAAGATACAAAATTTAATATGAAACAATTTGTAGTAGCACGGAATTACGTTGTTAAATCTCAGGAAAAATTTAATTTATACGTTGGTGATAGAGAAAGTGAATTTAGAACTTTAAGCTTAGTGAGCGTGCAGTGGCAAAGCAATCTCTTTTTGTCATGCTAGCCACACTTTCCTTTTATGTTACCTAAATGGATTTTCTCTGTCACCCAGTCGGGAGGAATGGGAGTTACAAGCATGGAAAGCAGCGGTTATTTGAGGATGTCGACAACAGTCCTCAGCAGTACGAGCGTCTCAGTGGAAGTTCGAAGAACGAGAGAGAGAGAAGCGGCGCAAGCTAGGGGTGCTTTGTCGTGGTGATATGGTCCTGTTTGGGTGTAAAGTTTTGAAGTCTTTCTATTAGTTGTGCTACGTATCAAAAATTGATTTTTAATGATAAGATAATTAGTAGAAAATCTCGGAATTTTATTCACGTTTAATAACAGTTAAGCGTTATATTTAATTGCTTAATAACTATTGGACAAGAAATATATATTTATTAACATTAGGTTTACATACGGAGGAAAGGTTGGAAACGTAAGGGCATATAAAGTTTATTAATGTTATTTCATAGACAGATATATACCCATTCAAAGTTTTTTTCACTTTGATTAATGATTTAAATTTGATCATAAATCAAGGTATGGTTATAAGGTCACGTGTTCTTCACTGTATATTAAGAACGTTAGTAACTAATAGTTTACAGTGCGAAGCATACACGTGAATTATACGCTATAAATAGTGTCGATATGTAAAGCGTAGTTCGCAAACATGTTTTATTACTTTCTGTTTGATGGAGATTAGAAAATTATATCTGTTCATCGGTTTGTCTTGAAAGCTTTTATGGACGTATTGTAAAGCAATTCATCATCCAGCACCAATTCTTGTTCCACCAACGTTTTTTGTAGCTATTAATAGTCTCTCAGGAGTAATAGGATCCGTGCACATAAAGAACTCGTTTATATTGCGTGTTAACTCCTTTCTGTAAGTTGCTTAGTGTCATAAAAATATTATGAGTAACCTTTGAAGTATCATCTTTTTTTCTTCACGTGGGGCAAAATACATATATAGGTTATACTTATTATTATCTATGTTAAAATTGTAGTGCAAAGTGTGTGACTTTGGTTTTTGCCATGCAATACTGTACAAAAGTTATTACTGATCATTTGCGTTTCCTTTCTGAACATTTAACGTGTAACAATTATCAGTTTTATATATATATATATATATATATATATAGTAATTAGAACATAGTGAACAAAATTAAACGTTTCTCAATGTAACTAAAAATAATACG